TCTTAAAGATGGAGTGGTACACTAATAAATGAGAGTTTGAAATTAGAGGTAATTTATGTTTTATATGCAGATTTCAAGACATTTGCTAATTTTGTAGTTTCATGTGGTTATTTTCCAAAGGTTACAGATAATAAAGAAATCAGAAATGGTACCTTTCTAAGAATTGCATATTTTTTTAGGCACAACTATTAGCACATTAAGAGGGAAGCAAAATGTTATTGTCAATTTAAACTGGTTCAAAATGCAAGCAATTACTAACTTAACTCCCTCATTATATAAACTGTCTGGCTCCCAGGAACAGCCTTATAGAAAAAGGGAGTATTGTGTATTGTATTGGGAGGAAAAATGTTATTGGACTATTGACTGAAAGTAAATTTAGATAAAATTAAATACAGTTTTTTGTTCTTATGGGCATTTTTTTTTTTTTTTTTTTAAGTTCAAGTCATCGAATATTTTTGGCATTGCTATCAGTAGATATGCATGCTTAGCTCTTTAACCGTTTTGTTTTTTGTTTTTTTTTAATGTAAATTGTTTGAGTATTTGAAATGCTCACTTCTCCTTAATGGGTCATGTCTACCTTAAGTAGTCTTCAAAGAACAACCATTTGCTACCAAAGTAAAAAATCAGTATTTTGAATGTGCTTCTCTTGGTTTCTGTTATTAACTAGTTCTGAAAGCATTTCCACCAGGACTTGAGGAAGCTGTTTCTTTTAAAATACAGACCACCACCAAAAATGTTAATGTACATATTGCTTCAGTATTTGGCCGCTTTTATTTTTTTAAAGGTGTGAACACCCAAAAAGGAAATTAATAATTGTATGAATGAGAAGATGGCACTTTCTGTACTTTGTCAATGCATTTAAGTTACTAACTTGTGGAATCCAGTTTGACCTTACTTAATGAATACTAAGTGTATATGTATTGACCAATGGCCTCTCAAAAGCACATTTTAGATGCTGAAAACAGAAGGAAAGAAAATGTATCTTCAAACATGTTAAGGAATCTCTGACCATATATACTTTGTTCTGTGTGTTGTTGGGGTTTGGGGTGGTTTTTGTTTTTTTGTATTTTTGTATTGTATATGAACATTTTTTTCTTAATGTGACAGTTAGACACATCATTGAAAGCATAGTCACAAACAAAAGAAACAAAATACAATGATTTCCTTGAAAATTCCTACAATGTTAAATTTGGAGGATGCTTCAGACTATTTTATTGGTGGTAACTGCTCACTGAGCTCTATTAATAGGTAATAACTCCAGAGAAGCAGCCTGACTTGTATATTCCTAATACTTTGTTCACTTGCATTTAAGTTTAGATAAAGTCCCAAGTAAAACAGTGGAAATGTATATAGAACTATTAGTTCTTACTTAACATGATTTAATGATATCAAGATACATGAATTTAACTTTAACTTCCTTTAATGTAGACAAACTTTCCAATTTTGTTCATTTTCTTGTTTATGTTAAGATAGTAACTATCCCTCTCCTGCATATTATTTTCTTGACCCAAATGAAATATTTAGCTATGGTCAAGATGGGAGAGAGAAATGACTGAGATGAATGTCTTTACTGAAAATACCAATAAATTGTCAAACTCAATAGTGTTCTTATTTTCTGTTTCACTAAATTTATTCTTTGTTTTTTGTTTGTTTGTTTGTTTGTTTGATGTTACCCAAAGTTGAGACAAAGTTGTGATTGTTCCTTTTTTTTATATTGTTGGCCAAAGTAACGGGAGATTTGAAGTGTTGATTTTCAGAGTCTGCCTAACTTAGTAAGCTTTATGGCATTACAATGTCTCAGATTGTAAAAGACAACAAAAAAGGATCAGACAAATCCAGTTCCTCTTCTGTTGCCAAAGGGTTTTATATCCTGTGCTATGTAGAAAATCCCAGAGAGGTATACCCATTGCTGTCAGGTCAATTCTGATTCATAGTGATCCTGCAGGACAGAGTTGAACTGCCCCATAGGGTTTCCAAGTCTATAATATTTATAGCAGTAGACGGCTGCATTTTCCCCCACAGAGCTGCTGGTGGGTGCAGACTGCTGACCTTTAGAGACTAAGCACTTAACCACTGCATCACCAGGGTTCCTTTGAGGCACACATAACTTTGAAAATGCTTAAATGTGAAAACATATTAACTATTGTCTACATTGGGGAGTGCGGTGGCTTTGTACAGTAAGCACTGGACTGCAAACCACAAAGTCCAGTTTGAGCCTACCAGTCACTCTGCAGGAGAAAGATGAGACTGCGACTGCAAAGATCTAAAGCCTTGGAAACCTTATACAGGGTCACTGTGAATGGAAATCGACTCGACAGTATATATGATGAAGGAAGTATCGAAAGAGGATGGAATACACAGTTACTGTACCAAAAAGAATGGGTCAACCTGCCATACGCAGATGACAACAACCTTTTATATAGACTTAATATAATATAAAGGATTAAATAATTGAATTAGTCACATGGGTTGCCTTCTCCTTTCTATCACTTTCATTTTGTTAACCCAGTCAGAGAAGCCTTTTCTGGAGTTTCTTCTAATGGCTTGACAAGCACATGTTAGTTATTTCCCCTTTAGAGTATATCCTTTTAAAATTTAGAGTGCAGAGCTTCATGGTTCAGACCCTAGTAAATTAGTTACATATTTTAATTAAGATTTATCGCAGATTACAGTTGATGGCTGAATTGCAAATGTGTTTTCATAACTTCTATCAAAGTGAACTTGATAATACTATGATGAGATTGATCAAATTGCCTTCCTGGTTAAGGAAACCTACCTAAAAATTTGTTTTAAACTTTTCTAATTTGAAGAAATTTGAGCTTTAACAAAAAATAGAAAAATATATTTCCTTATACCCTTTATATATATATGTTCACCAAATGTTGCTATGTTGTTAGGTATTGTCGAATCAATTCTGACTCAGTGACTCTGTATAACTGAACCCTGGTCCTGTGCTGTCTTTACAATTGTTACGCTTGAGCCCATTGCTGCTACAACTGTGAATCCATTTCCTTGGGGGTGGGGGGAGGGTCTTCCTCTTTGTTTTCACTGCTGTACTTTTCTTTCTCGTTACACAAGGCTGTATGTTGCTAAGGCCTAATGTTCACACAATAGAAAAACCAAAATTGTTACCTCAAGAGTTGAGAATTGCATAAAAAAAACTTACAAAAAGGATAAATGCGTTTACAGATTTAAATGCAAACTTATCTATCTGCCACCTCAAGGCAAGTAAGAACACAGGGGTTTCCAGAGGGAGAACATCAGCTAAGTAACCAGTCTAAAGGGTCAGTTTCTTCCAATCCTGACAGGTTGATAAGACAGATTCTGATAACCACTGGGAATCTGGTACCATCAGCTCCTAGTATTAATACCCGGCACAGACTTACAACAGTGGGCTTCCCATGTCATTCCTTAATCTTAGGCAGCAAGGGGCTTAAATAAAAATAGATGTATAGGGTATTAAACACAGATCAAAGGAACAAACAACTTGAATACAATACAAGGTCGTGGTAATCAGCAACAAGTCCTATGATCGATCCAGTGCTGCTAATATCAAAGTACAAGCTTCAAGAACAATTTATTTTCCAAGTCTTTTTCCAGTTTCAAAAGGTTTACAGGCAAACCTGCACTCAGGAATGAGCTCATGCGGCAGGTGGTGGCACTTGCTGGCAGTCCCTCTAGAAACACTTGTGGACAGTGAAAGGGCCCGACTCAACATACTCCTGCTTACTGACCCACATCTGTTGGAAGGTGGACAGCGAGGCCAGGATGGATTCACTGATCTAGACAGAGTACTTGCGTTTGGGGGAAGCAATGTTCTTGATCTTCCTGGTGTTGGGAGCTAGCACTGTGATCTGCAACCGACCAGTGATGCCTGAGTACATGGTGGTCCCACCTGACAGCACTGTGTTGGCATACAGGTCCTCCCAGATAGCCACAGCACATTTCATGATGGAGTTAAAAGACAGGAAGGCTAGAAGAGCATCTCGATACACCGGAAGTGCTCATTGCCAACAGTGATTACCTGACCTGAGTGTTGGGCAGCAACTAGCTCTTCTCCAGGGAGGACGACGACGCAGTGGACATCTCCCGCTTGAAGTCCAGGGCAAAGTAGGACTTCTTGATGTCGCGCACGATACCGTACTCGGTTTTGGTGGTGAAGCCGTAGCCGCGCTGCGTCAGGATACTCATGAGGCAATTGGTCAGCTTGCGTCCCACCAGGCCCAGATACAGTATGACATGGGGCAGGGCATAGCGTTCGTAGATGGGCACAGTGTGCGCTATACATCACCAGAGTCCATGACAATGCCAGCAGTGCAGCCGGAGGTGTACAGGGATAGCACGGCCTGGATGTTCTCGTACATAACGGGGGTGTGGAAAGTCTCAAACATGATCTGGGTCATCTCCCTTTTGGCCTTGGGGTTCAAGGTTGCTTCGGTCAACAGCACGGGGTGAGCCTTGGGGTCCACGCACAGCTTCTTGTACAAGATGTAGTGCCATATTTTTCCAGTGGGTGACTATGCCATGCTCGATCATGTACTTGAGGGTCAGGATGCTTCTCTTGCTCTGGCCTTGTAGCTCTCATTCGGGCCCACCATGACGTCCTGGTGCCTGGGGCGCCCCACGATGGAGGGGAAGACAGCGTGGGGGGGGGGCAGCACGCCCAAAAAGTCCGCTTTGCACATGCGGGACCCATTGTCCATGACTAGTGCAACTATCTCTTTTTCCATGGCAACAGGAGAGGCCAGATGACAGCAGCAGCAGGCAGAAGTAGAGAAAGAAGTGGAACAGGAGCCCGAGACTGAGCTCTTCCTCTTTTTTCACTGACCCTCCACTTGACCAAACATGATATCCTCCATGGACTGCCACCTCCTGATAATATGTCCGAAGTGTTGTTGTT